AATTTACAATTGAATTTAGACAAAAACGTCTATTCAATTAGATCTAGATAGTTTTCACCACTATTTACAACAATAATAAGTGATGTTTGTTGGGTAGAAATATAATATTCCGGATACAAACTTACCGTTCTCGACTGGACGGGAAAAGGCGGGAAAAGACGTCGTCTTTGCACACTCGCGGCCGACGCCAAGAACACAACCGGAAGTAAAATTTGACTCGTCCCATTCCGATCGTGAGGTCTCGCGTCCTCTTCGAAGTTCGCGTCTTCGATCTAAAGCAGTCTATTTTCTCGTTGTGTATAAGCTTATATTTAAGTCCCACTGCCGAGCCGGCGAGCCACTAAATGTAGATACTGCTAGAGACACATGAATTCATTTTCTCGTTCTTTAAGTCYCACTGCCGATTTTACAAAGCCGATTGAAAATCACTACCGAGCCGGCGAGCCACACATAAAAGCCACTCCGATTTGGGGCCCTGTATTCTGTAGAACCTACTTTTTTTTGTTTGCTATTGATGCATTAAAATATATAAGATGTTTACCTTATGAAAAGCTCTTGAAATAAACAGCTTCTCCAAACCACTGGAGCCTTTTCCACAAAAAAGACAGAGTGAAAATTAACCTACCAAACTATCACAGCCAGGCCTTCTTCTTCGTCTTCGATGCACATATGGGACATATAGACTCTTCCGCAGTCCCCTGCTCGGCTTTTGGTCTTCTCTACCAAAAGCCGAGCAGGGGACTGCGGAAGAGTCTAATGGGACATATGGCATGCGGTTGTTCCCAGGATAACACAACACAGGAACTCCATTCTAAATTTCGCGTCACGTCTTTTGGTCTCTCTTCTGTTGAGTGCTGTCGTTTACAAGAAGTAAATGTGTAGATTATGTTTTAATTTTGACTGACTCGATAAATTGACTAAATACATAAGCTTAATTATCCATTGGATGTGCTCGACATGGCGATGCCTGAACGAAGAGATCTGATCATGAAGGTAATACTTAAGTACATGTAAGCTTTAGATCTAAAATGCCGTAACATTAAGACTTAGACTATATTGAAACTYCAAGTAGAGAAGATTAGAACTGACAATAGTATACCATATAAATTAGATTGATTAAAACAAGAGTCAAATGGTTAAAGATTAGCTACAGTACGACCGTGGAATAGTGTACATGGCAGATTCAACTGCAATTGGTTATTTTGAATTGCTTTATTGAACGTGGACACATAAAATAGACCAATCCCGCATTCGCTTGGATGAACACGGAACAATGGCTTCATTTCGAGGCTGGAGTTTTATCTTTTGTCGAAAACTCCAGMCTCGAAATYAAGTGATTGTTTCGTRTTCATCCAAGCGAATGCGGGATTGGTGTATTAGGGGAGCAACTTTACAAAAACTCCTCACATCAGTTTATAAGGCGGACCCGTCTTTTGAAAAAAATATGGACAATCATACATGGGCTTCCTGTGGTAATATGATTGCAATATGTGAGTGAAAGACAATTATTAATTGACTCTATAAATACAGAATACTTTCAAAAAAAAAAATGAATCCAAAGAATCACTCGAAGCTGAAATGATTTCAGATATTTGTTTASGAAAATTAAACATTGCAGATTCCTATGCAAGGATGAATTTTCAAGTCCAGAATGTTAATTTCAGGTTGTTGATYCTTTGCTGATGCCTACAGTATTTTGAGAAGAAATCAACTCTCCCTTGAAATATTCCTTTGAATTTATCATTTCAGGCCTGGGAAAATACTCTCTTAGTTTCTCTTGAACAGGTTCTTCCCATTTTTTACTCTTAAAGCTAAGCTTCMTTTAAAGGGCCGTATGCGAAAACAGCGTAAGTGACGATTTAGGGTATTTTTGAAACTTGCGCAAAATGGAAAAAAAAAAATTCCAAAAATACCCTAAATCGTCACTTAAGCCATTCTCGCATACGCGTCTTCATTTGCTATACGGACTGGTTTGAAAGTTACATGAAAAYTTACGATTTAATATATGATTTTGTCTTAAAAGTCTCTGACTATGGTGCTGGATCTCTATCTCTTTCAATCTTCAAAGGCTTAGGTCTAAACTCACAGGCAGCCCACCACTTGGATGATTAATTTTATCTTATTATTTTCTATATATTTTATAGAAGTGATTTTTATAAATTATCAGAAATGTTTTCAAAAAAGTGCTCAACTTTGTCAAGGAGCATTAACAAGATCTTTAACAAGCACACCCTCAAACTCAACTATTCCTGCATGCCCAACTTAAAGTTCATAATCTCGTCACACAACAAAAAAGTACTATCAACAAACAACACCAAACAAGTACAAACAGACAAAGAGTACAACTGCAGAAACAAGAACGAATGCCTGCAGGCGAATGTCATATACCAAGCGACAGTAACAACAGAAAAAAAAATATCCCATACAATTGCACAGGATGGTCCGTTGCTATGGACTTTCCTCCCTGATGATTCTAAGATTTTGTTTTATCTCAAAGTGTAGTCAGTCAAGTTGTAAACGAGGCAAAACTTCAGTAGATGTAGAATAGAAAAAAAATTATTTGAATTTTCTACAAATTGTGAAGGAATTTTTAACGTTTTTGAATGTTATGACGTCACTAGCACCAGCTATTTTTAGAACATCCCTAAAAA